TAAAAAAAAAAAAAAAAAAAAAGAAAAACAAGTTCATATAAAAATTATTTATGATTACATCTTCCCTCAAATTTGTCATTGATGTTGTTAATTATATCTTTTTTTTTTTTGTCGGATATTCAGTAACAAGGGTTTGTATTGATTTGTATGCTTTTATTCAAATTTCAGAGAATAATTATAAATGTTTTATTTTCTTTTTTTTTTAAATTTTATTTTTTTACGTTTCCAAGGAGCTGTGTATAAATGTTTTCTTTTTTAAAATTTATCATACTTTAATTTCTGGGGTACATGTGCAGAACCTGAAGGTTTGTTACATAGGTATACACATGCTTTGGTGGTTTGCCACATTCATAACCTTGTCATCTACATTAGCTATTTCTCCTAATGCTATCTCTCCCCATTCCTCCACTTGTCGCTATCCCTCCCTTAGCCTCCAACCCTCTAGCAGGCCCTGGTGTGTGATGTTTTCCTCCCTATGTCCATGTGTTCTCATTGTTCAATACCCACTTATGAGTGAGAACATGCAGTGTTTGGTTTTCTGTTCTTGTGACAGTTTGCTGAGAATGGTGGCTTCCAGCTTTATTCATATCCCTGCAAAGGACATGAACTCATCCTTTTTTATGGCTGCACATAGTATTCTATGGTGTATATGTGCCACATTTTCTTTATTCAGTCTATCATTGATGGGCATTTGGGTTGCTTCCAAGTCTTTGCTATTGTGAATGTTTTCTACACTGCTGAAATAATGCTATGAAATTCTACTTTTGAGTATTTGCATATTTTTCCCAGAAAATAATGTATTTTTATATGATTATGTTTTGTTTTTTTTTTTAATCATGTTATTTTCAGTAGAAGGAACTGTTTTCAGCATGTTTTACATGTAGGGGCTATGTCGTTACAATACACTTTTATAGAATTTGATTACTTCTAAAGGTTTTTATTGTTTTATTTTGCAGGACAGATTCACTGATGATATTATTCGCACTTAATTAAAGCTATTTTTTTCACAGTTTTTTTCATGACTGCATCACACAGTTTCCTTATTACCTGCAAAATTTTTGTTAACAGTTATGATTATCTCATAAGACTATATTTGTAAATGGAACATCACTTTTGTTCTTCCTCTTTTTTTTTTTTTTTTTGGAGACAGAGTCTCACTCTATTCCTTAGCCAGACTAGAGTATGGTGGTGTCACCTTAGCTCACTGCAACCTCCATCTCCTGGGTTCAAGTGGTTCTTCAGCCTCAGCCTCCTGAGTAGCTGGGATTGCAGGCATATGCCAGCATAGCCAGCTAAGTTTTGTAGTTTTAGTAGAGACTAGGTTTCGCCATGTTGGTCAGGCTGGTCCCAGACTCCTGACGTCAGGTAACCTGCCCACCTCGGCCTTCCAAAGTGCCTAGACTCCAGGAGTGAGCCACCATGCCTGATTTGGCACATCACTTTTATCTTCAGCTCCAAAGATAATCATTTTGTCTGTGGCTTTTGAAATTGTGCTTATATATGTGTTTGTTACAAATATCTTTTCGTGTTCCTAGTTTGCTAAGCTTCTTTATTTTTACTCTTTTTTTCTTTTAGGATCTATTAGGGTTTTTTTTGTATTTTTTCCTCCAGAATTTCTATTTTTTTGATATCTTATTTTCATCCTCATTTTTCTGATTTTCCATAGTTGTCTCTGTTTCTTTTTTTTTTTTTTTGAGACAGAGTTTCACTCTTGTTACCCAGGCTGGAGTGCAATGGCGTGATCTCGGCTCACCGCAACCTCCGCCTCCTGGGTTCAGGCAATTCTCCTGCCTCAGCCTCCTGAGTAGCTGTGATTACAGGCACGCGCCACCATGCCCAGCTAATTTTTTGTATTTTTAGTAGAGACGGGGTTTCACCATGTTGACCAGGATGGTCTCGATCTCTTGACCTCGTGATCCACCCGCCTCGGCCTCCCAAAGTGCTGGGATTACAGGCGTGAGCCACCGCGCCAGGCCCAGTTGTCTCTGTTTCTATTTTAATCAGTATTTTTCAATGTATTAGCAATTCTTTAAATTAATTTATTCTTTTTAATTTTTTTTTTTTTTTAGAAAATTTTATATTTTTGGTGGGATTATATTGCCCTGTATTGTATATATTATGATCTTTGATTTAGATTTGGACATTAAAATAAGTTACTTGTCAAAATCTTTATAATGTAGCTTTTTCCTGGCATAGTCTGAAAACAATTGTCTTGACTGGTGATTATGGGAGTTTCTCAAACATGTACTTAGGATATGTGGTGTCTGAAATTTAATGTTTATTTTTATTTATTTATTTCTTTTTACAGGCTTAATTCATTTATTTTTCTTGTATGAAACCCTATGTTGTAGCTGCTGGAGCCTGGGTTCACTGCACAGAGAATCTGGTGTGGGCCTTGACGAGGGAGGTGGTCAGTGAATTTCCGATAGGGAGACTTGGTGAATACAGTCTCCTTCTGGAGATTGGGTGTCAGGCGGCTGTAGGTCTTAGAGATGGCATCAAAGGTGGCCTTGGTGAAGTTGCCCAGGGTGGCAGTGCAGCCCCTGGCTGAGGTGTAGCAGTCATTGATACCAGGCATCATGAGCAGCTTCTTGGGCACAGGCAGTGAGACAATGCCAATGCCCCTGGGCGCGGGGATGAGGCTCACCAGCAGGGAGCCACAGAGGCCTATAACCTTGTGAGAAATAGTGTGGAGCTTACCGATCTTGTTTCCCAGTAGCCTCTGCACACAGGGACAATGGAGAGCTTGGCCAGGACAATAGCCCTGCGGATGGCAATGGCCACCTTATTGGACCACTAAATATCCAGACCGACGTAACTGTTCTGGTCCCCGATGGAAACAAACACTTTAAACCTGGTGCGCTGGCTGACACGGGTCTGCTTATGGACCGCGTAGTCTTGAAAACCTCATTCTTGAGAGAGGCCCCTAGGAAAAAGTCAGTGATCTCAGATTCTGGAGAAGAGATAGATCTTCAGGAACTTGATCTTCATGTTCTTAACCAGGCGGCCCAGATTGGTGACAGGCATCCACGCATTATCTTTGGCCTCGCCTCCACAAGCTCCGTAGCCCAACCCTGGACCGGGCCCCAGACCTGTCCAAGGCTGAGACACTGGCTCTGATGCTGCTGCCGAAACATCCTCAGAAGCCACAGCAGTTTGGCATCCCAGGGACCCCCCGCTGCACTGGCGTCCTCCATTTATTTAGTTATTTTTTTTCTCGGAAAAGATGCTGTGTTTATTTTTTTTATTTAAGAGAGTTTACTAATGTTGCTCTGTAGGAGTCAGTAATCACTTACTATTCCTGTTCCCTGTCTGTAGCACTGCTGCTGTAACATTTTTCTTTGGTCTCAGCAGACTCAAACTCTCATTTCAAAATATACCATCATTTCTTTCAGCACTTTATGTCATGAGAGATAGAAACCAGTGTCAGAAAAAGCCTCCAAAAGCCAGAAATAACAATGAATGTGCCAGTATTTTATTTTAAGACAGAAACCAAGAGCTGGCAATTTACTTCTAAAGGTACTATGTTATAGTGGGAAGCAGGAAAAGCCGTGTTGGATAAATTTAACAGACTTTTATTTTTCTTTTATGTGTTTTTTTGCATTGTGCTCACCTGGGACACTGCACACACAATTCATTCACTTATAAATTTTCCATAGCTGTATTTGGGTCTGTACGTTTTTGTTACACTTATATGTCTATGAAAGAATCAGGGCCTGTGGTATTTTGCAATGCCATTTTGATTACGTAGTTTGTATAATGTTATAGATAAGATTTTTAAACTATATCCATGTGACTCTAGCAAGTGGAGTAATGTATTATTTTTATTTATTTATTTTTTCCAGTTATATGTCCTCATTTTGCTCAAGACCTTTGGCCAGAGCAGGGCATGGAAGACTCTTTTCAAAAAGTAATACTGAGAAGATACGAAAAATGTGGACATGAGAATTTACAGTTTAAAAAAGGCTGTAAATATGTGGATGAGTGTAAGGTGCACAAAGAAGGTTACAATGGACTTAACCAGTATTTCACAACTACCCAGAGCAAGGTATTTCAATGTGATAAATATCTGGAAGTTTTTAATAAATTTTTAAATTCAAACAGACATAAGGTAAGACATACTGGAAAGAAATCTTTCAAATGTAAAAAATGTGTCAAATCATTTTGCATGATTTCACACAAAACCCAGCATAAAAGCAATTATACACAAAAGAAGTCCTACAAATGTAAAGAATGTGGAAAAACCTTTAATTGGTCCTCAACCCTTACTAATTATAAAAAAATTCAAACTGAAGAGAAACCCTACAAATGTGAAGACTTTGGCAAAGCTTTTAAGCAACCCTCAACCCTTTCTACACATAAAATAATTCATGCTAGAGAGAAACTCTACAAATGTGAAGAATGTGGCAAAGCATTTATCTGGTTCTCAACCCTTACTAAACACAAGAGAATTCATACGAGAGAGAAACTCTACAAATGTGAAGAATGTGGCAAAGCATTTATATGGTCCTCAACCTTATCTAGACACAAGAGGATTCACACTGGAGAGAAACCCTTCAAATGTGAAGCATGTGGCAAAGCTTTTAGCCAATCCTCAACCCTTAATACACATAAGATAATTCATACTGGCGAGAAACCCTACAGATGTGAAGAATGTGGCAAAGCTTTTAAGCAACTCTCAACCCTTACTACACATAAAATTATTCATGCTGGAGAGAAGCTCTACAAATGTGAAGAATGTGGCAAAGCTTTTAACCGATCCTCAAATCTTACTACACATAAAATAATTCATACTGGAGAAAGACCTTACAAGTGTGAAGAATGTGGCAAAGCATTTATCTGGTCCTCAACTCTTACTAAACATAAAAGAATTCATACTAGAGAGAAACCCTACAAATGTGAAGAATGTGGCAAAGCATTTCTATGGTCCTCAACTCTAACTAGACACAAGAGGATGCACACTGGAGAGAAACCCTACAGATGTGAAGAATGTGGCAAAACTTTTAGCCAGTCCTCAACTCTTACTACACATAAAATAATTCATACTGGAGAGAAACCTTACAAATGTGAGGAATGTGGAAAAGCCTTTAACTGGTCCTCAACTCTTACTAAACATAAGATAATTCATACTGAAGAGAAACCCTACAAATGTAAAAAATGTGGCAAAGCCTTTAACCAGTCTTCGATCCTTACTAACCATAAGAGAATTCATACTGGAGAGAAGCCCTACAAATGTGAAGAATGTGGCAAATCTTTTAACCGGTCTTCAACCTTTACTAAACATAAGGTAATTCATACTGGAGTAAAACCCTACAAATGTGAAGAATGTGACAAAGCCTTTTTCTGGTCCTCAACCCTAACTAAACATAAGAAAATTCATACAGGAGAGCAAACCTACAAATGGGAAAAATTTGGCAAAGCCTTTAACCAGTCCTTACACCTTACTACAGATAAGATAACTCATATTGGAGAGAAATCTTACAAGTGTGAATAATGTGGCAAAGCCTATAAAAAATCTTAAATTCTTCATAGGCGTAACATTCATGCTGGATAGAAACTCTACAAACCTGAAAGATGTGCTAATGCTTTTTACAATACCTCAGACTATTCTAAACATAAAGAAAATCAAATATATTTTCAGTTGCAGTAAATATAAAAGTTATTTAATTCAAAATTAAGTAAATATCAGGGAATAATTCACAGAAATATCTAGGGCACTCTAAAATTAGTCATTACATGAAATCAGAGTGCTGAGTATAGAAAATACAAACCAAAGTTTGTGTAAGCATTATTTGTATATAACTTTAAAAGCATTAGAATATTTTTGGAGCATTGTAATTACATTCAAAGTATACTTTTGAAAATACAGATTTTTTTTTTTTTTAGGCAGAGTTTCGCTCTTGTTACCCAGGCTGGAGTGCAATGGCGCGATCTCGGCTCACTGCAACCTCTGCCCCCTGGGTTCAGGCAATTCTTCTGCCTCAGCCTCCTGAGTAGCTGTGATTACAGGCACATGCCACCATGCCCAGCTAATTTTTTGAATTTTTGGTAGAGACGGGGTTTCACCGTGTTGGCCAGGATGGTCTCGATCTCTTGACCTTGTGATCCACCCGCCTTGGCCTCCCAAAGTTCTGGGATTACAGGCGTGAGCCACCGCTCCTGGTTTGAAAATACAGATTTTTTTTGAAAGTGAATAATAATGGCCTTAAACTCTGAAATTACTTCATGCTGTTTTATTATTCCTGATGTATTCACATGTGAAAGCATGTGACTACTTGTTGCTGCATAAAAGATATGAGAGATTCTTTTTTATTAGGCATTAGTTATGATCTTTTTTTGTGGAAAGGTAAGGACATTAAAATGTAAGATGCATAATGAAAATTTAAGTAGAGAGGCTCTTTGTAGTTAACTTATAATACCAAGCGATGGAAGAGGTAGGTGTTCAAAGTAATATTCTGCATTATTATGAAAGAGAAATATTCTTAATTTTACTTAAAATTTACTAGTATGTTATTTTATTAATTGTGCTTTTATGGAATAATATGCAGCGTATTTTAAAATTATAAGTTATGTGTGAATTTAACTTTTCAACATTTTTAACATGTTAAATATGATTGTGAATTCAATGAATTGTTATTATGCCACTAACTTTAACCTATTCCACGTTACTCAAGGGTGTAGGTTAAAGATGGTAAGAATACACTATTATTTGGTAGGGTAATGGACTAACATCTCTAGTAATCTTTTTTGCCGGTGGCTTTAAATTGCCAATAAGTTAAAAAATATTGTTCCTATAGGTTAAAATTTTATTCCTATTTTCACATTTAAATGTATTGTTCTTAATTTTTCTGGATATATAATATGTGTATATACTTATGCCATATATGGCATATTTTGATACAGGCATACAATATATAATAATCACATTAGAGGAAGTGAGGTATCCATTACCTCTAGCGTTTATTCTTTGTATTACAAGCAATTTAATTCTACAGTTTTAGTTGTTTTTAAATGTACAATTGTTATTGACTCCAGGGTCATTTATATGGCCATAATAAAAATTATATACTAAGAATTATATACAACTATAAGTAAAATCTATACATTTCTGAATCCTGAATATTTTTATAAGTTTTTAATATATTTTTCTTTGAACATGTGACCTCTGCCTGCAAACACATATGGACTCTTAGTATTGATTTACATAGAGTTAAATATACACATCTTTTAGTCTACAGATAAGCCTTAGTTGTAAATAAATAATGAAGTAATTGTGTTTGTGTAAGAATACATATTTTTAAAATTTTATTGTTTTATAAGTTATTGGGGTACGGGTGGTATTTGGTTACTTGTGTAAGGTTTTTGATGGTGACTTGTGAGATCCTGGTACACCCATCACCCAAGCAGTATACACTGCACCATATATGTTGTCTTCTATTCCTGCCATCTTCTCCTCTTCCCAACGTCCCTGAAGTCCATTGTATTATTATTCTGCCTTTGTGCCCTCAAATGATGTTTGCTTTTCCATTCCTGAGTTACTTCACTTAGAATAATAGTCTCCAATCTCATCTTCGACATTGCAAATGCTGTTAATTCATTCCTTTTTATGACTTAGTATTCCAACGTATGTATGTACCACAGTTCCTTTATCCACTTGTTGATTTATGGGCACTTTGGTTGGTTCCATGATTTTGCAATTGTAAATTGTGCTTCTAGAAACATGAACGTGCGCAGGGTGCGGTGGCTCACGCCTGTAATCCCAGCACTTTGGGAGGCCGATATGGGCAGATCACCTGAGGTCAGGAGTTTGAGACCAGCTTGGCTGGCATGATGAAACGCTGTTTCTACTAAATATACAAAAAATTAGCCGGGCGTGGTGGCATGCACCTGTAGCGTTTGTAGAACCTGTAATCCTAGCTACTCGAGAAGCTGAGGCAGGAGAATTGTTTGAACACGGGAGGTGGAGTTGCAGTGAGATGAGACTGCGGTTGCACTCCAGCTTGGGAAACAAGAGCGAAACTTTGCCTCAAAAAAAGGAAGGATAGGAGGGAGGGAGGGAGGGAGAGAGGGAAACATGCATGTGCAAGTATTTCTTTCAAATAATGACTTCGTTTTCTCCGGCTAGATACCCAGTAGTGGGATTGCTGGATCAAATGGTAGTTGTACTTTTAGTTCTTTAAGAAATCTCTACACAGTTTTCCATAGTGGTTGTACTAGTTTACATTCCCACCAGCCAGTGTTACCTGATGGCCAGATCCATGCCAACATCTACAATATTTTGATCTTTTCATTATGGCCATTCTTGCAGGAATAAGGTGGTATTGCATTGTGGTTTGAATTTACATCTCTCTGATCATTAGTGATGTTGAGAATTTTTTTTTTTATGTTTGTTGGCCATTTGTATATCTTCTTTCGAAAATTGTGTATTCATGTCCTTAGCCCACTTTTTGATGAAATCTTTTTTTCTTCTTACTGTATTGTATTTTTTTCTTCTTACTGATTTGAGTTTGTTGTAGGTTCAGGATATTAGTCCTTTGTCAGATGTGTAGATTGTGAAGAATTTCTCCCACTCCAAGTTGTCTATTTACTCTGCTGGCTGTTCCTTTTGCCATGTAAAAGCTTTTTAGTTTAATTAGGTCCCAGCTAATTAGGTCTTTGTTTTTACTGCATTTGCTTTTGTGTTTTTGGTAATGAAATTTTTGCCTTGCCAATGCTTAGTTTTTCCAATGTTATTTTCCACAATTTTTATAGTTTCATGTCTTAGAATTAAGTCCTTAACCTATCCTGAGTTTATTTTTTTAAAAAGTGAGAGATGAGAATTCAGTTTCATTCTCCTACATGTTGCTAGCCAATTATCCCAGCACCATTTATTGAAAAGGGTGTCCTTTCCCCACTTTATGTTTTTGTTTTCTTAGTTGAAGACTGGTTGGCTGTATTTGAGTTTATTTCTGGGTTCTCTGTTCCATTGTAATATGTGCCCATTTTAATACCAGTACCATGCTGTTTTGGTAAATATGGCCTTACAGTATAGTTTGAAATCAGGTAGTGTGGTGCCTCCAGATTTGTTCTTTTTGCTTAGTCTTACTTTGGCTATGCGGCCTCTCTTTTGGTTCCATATGAATTTTAGAATTGTTTTTTCTAACTCTGTGAAGAATGATGGTGGTATTTTGATGGGAATTGTGTTTAATTTGTAGATTGCTTTTGGCAGTATGGTCATTTTCACACTATTGATTCTATCCATCCTGGAGTATGAGATGTGTTTCCATTTGTTTGTGTTGTCTGTGATTTATTTCAGCAGTGTTTTGCAGTTTTCCTTGTAGAGGTCTTTTGACTCCTTTATTAGGTATATTCCTAAGTATTGTATTGTTTTTCAGCTATTGTGAAAGGGTTTGCCTTCTTGATTTAATTCTCTGGTTGCTATTGGTGAATAGAAGAGCTACTGATTTGTGTACATTAATTTTGTATCCAAAAATTTTGCTGAGTTCTTTTATCAGTTCTAGGAGCTTTCTGGAGGAGTTTTTAGGTTTTTCAAGATAAATGATTTTATCATCAGCAAACAGGGACAGTTTGACTTCCTGTTTACTTATTTGTATGCCGGTTATTTCTTTCTCTTGTCTGATTGTTCTGGCTAGGACTGCCAGGACTATTTAAAGAGGAATGTTGAGAGTGGTCATCCTTGTCTTGTTCCCATTCTCAGAGGGAATACTTTTAAACTTTTTCCCCATTGAGTATTATTTTGTCTATGGGTTTGTCATAGATAGGCTTTATTACATTAAGCTGTGTCCCTTGTATGTCAACTTTGTTGAGGGTTTTAATCGTAAAGCAATGCTGGATTGTGTTAAATGCTTTTTTCTACATCTATTGAGATGATTGTGTGATTTGTGTTTTCAATTCTGTTTATGTGGTGTATCACATTTGTTAACTTATGTGTGTTAAACCATCTCTGTATTCCTGGATCCCTGGTATGAAACCCACTTGATCATGGTGGATTTTCTTTTTGACGTGTTGTTGGATTTGGTTAGCTAGTATTTTGTCAAGGATTTTAACATCAATGTTTATCAAGGATATTGGTCTGTAGTAGTTGCTTTTGTTTTTCTGTTTGTTTGTTTTGCTTGTGTCTTTTTCTAGACACAAGGGAGGGTTCATTCTTTATCTTTCTTGTGGAATAGTGTCAAAAACATTGATATCAATTCTTCGAATGTCTGGTAAAATTCTGTGAATCTTTCTGGTTCTGGACTTTTTTTTGTTGATAATTTTTAAGTCACCATTTTAATCTCATTCTTAGTTATTGTTCTGTCCATGCTATCTAATTCTTCCCAATTTAAGCTAGAAGGGTTGTATTTTTCCAGGAATTTATCCATCTTTTTGAGGTTTTCTAGTTTATGTGTGTAAAGGTGTTTATGGTCCTTGAGTGATTTTTTTGCATTTCAGTTGTTTCAGTTATATTATCTCCTGCTTCATTTCTCAGTGAGGTTATATGGATTTTCTCTCTTCTCTTGGTTAATCTTGCTAATTGTCAATCAATTTTATTTATATTTTCAAAGAAGCAGCTTTTTGATTTATTTAGTTATTTTTTGTTTGAATTTCATTTAGTTCTGCTCTGACCTTAGTTATTTCCTGTTTTTCTGCTAGGTTTAGGTTTGGTTTGTTCTTGTTTCTTTAGTTCCTTGAGGTATGACCTTAGATTTTCTGTTTGTTCTCTTTCACACTCTTTGATGTAGGCATTTAGAGCTGTGAACTTTTAGCACCACCTTAGCTGTATTCCAGAGGTTTTGATAGGTTGTGCCATTGTTGTCATTCAATTTGAAGAATTTATAAATTTTCATGTTTATTTGGTTTTTAACCCAATGCTCATTCA